CATATATTCAGAACTGTGAAGGAGAAGTTAGAGACGAAGGTGAAGCATATGAAGAAAGAAGTACAAACCCAGCGTAGTCAGTCAGTCGCAGGATATATGCGCCAAATCTGGTCCGCTAGTGAGGAAAAACGAGAATGATACGGTAAATACAACACCGGCCAACGAAGATGAGAGAAAAACTCACTTTGGAGTATACACCTCCGAGTGAACCCTTCGTGTCGAGCTGATCCATCAACCGACGTTATAATCTGCTCTTGGGTATGAGGCTTGAGGACCGAGACCTACGATGGGTTGGTTAGGATACGTGGAAAAGGCTATAGGGTGGACGAAACGGCGAGGCGAAGAGGAAATATAAAAAGCAAGGAGAACGTACAAGGATAATGTTCGTTGGGATATACTCCGCCTCCCTTGACGGTATCAGAGTCCCTTCCTGGTTGAACTTTGAACTGGTGTCTTGAGGTTACTCATGTTAAAGAGTCGATGAATTGCTCCGACGGATTCTATAGGATAATGATTTCAGTATGGTATCGACAAAGGGAGGTTCAGAAGGAACGGAGCAGAACCTCAACTTGAGGGCGAGACGATTAGGATAAGGAATGCGCGAGGGAAGATATAGAAAGGCGTGAAGGATATTTAAACTTACGAGGATAACCTCCACGAATAACCCCCACCACTCAAGGTCTGCACACTCTGAAGTCCCATCCACCGTGGCAGTCTACTTGACTTTCGTCTTCATGTCCGCTGTTAGCACAACAACCAACCGCGTCCCAGTGTAGGTCATGTTCATCGCCATCTTCTTCGGCTTAACTAGCGACACTCCTTAACATCTTCAACGAGCATCGCAGTCTAGGAAGTAATCATCAATGAGTATATGAGATGGACGAGGAAGGGACTCAAGGGAGAACTTAAGACGAAAAAGGTGTGGAGGGTATAACCGATAAATAAGGAACAGAACGGGTAGAGTTGAAAGAAACTCAGAAGAGAGTTGCGTACCGGTCATCACTCTGTGGATTCGAAGTTCAAAAGTTCCCCCTGCGTCGATCACAGCCGAGCTGTCGCCTGGTGGGATCTGGAAAGTGTGTCTGCACTGAATATATGACATAAAGTGAGCACTTAAACGAAAACTTGGATCGGAAGGGAACTGACCTTTCTTCGTGGAGTAAAAGAACGAGGGATCCAACGCCGAACGAGTCTTCTTCATCCCCTTTGGGCCCTCGTCGAGGTGGTCCAATACCAACTGGCTGAGAAAACATCGATTCCTGAGGGGCGAAAGAAAAGGCCCGACTGAGAAGATCGATGTCCGGAGATTGCTCTGCCGTGGCCAGGTGTGCAGTCCCCATAATTCCGGTGATGTTGAGGTCCGGGCTGCATTCGCCACGAGAAGGAGGAGAGCCAGTC